TTCAAAATGCGCTTAGTTTAAAATTTCCTTCTATATTCATTTCATGATCCAATGCCTGATATGCCAAGAGACATGCGAGTATAATAACCTAATAATTAATCGAGTTTTCCAAGAACATTAATTCTGTTCTCTTGAAAGAAGCACTGAAGATTAAGCTGATAAGAAGATGTTGAGTACGAGGTCATTGTTATAAATCATAATTACTTAATCTGGTTTACATTATTTTTTAAACAAACAAAATTTTTAAAGATTCAATGATATCAGAATATAAAATACCTCATGAACAAATAATTTGGAGTCACGTTCAAAACGCATGAATGTCATTCATCTGCATAGCATGATCACAATAAGTGTTCGAAATGATAACTTTTTTAATATATTAACTTCTACGTGACCTGCCAAATCTACATCATGATCCAAATCTCCATGAACATGACTTTTCAATATTTAAATGATTTAATTCTTTGTGCTCTATTTTGTATTAAAAAAATGAGAGGACCTAGATATATTCTTTGTTCATTGTAACTTAGTTAATACCCGATTCAATAAACCGAATTAATAATTGTTAATAATTATAAAATTGTCTCTTTTGTTATGGAATAAATTTGTTTTGCGCCCAAGAGAAACAAGCTGGAACAACTTCAATATAACAGAACATGAGCTAAGATCATGAGTGCGTTACTGTAGGAACATTTCTCGGAAATTAACTGATTAAATGAAGCCTGGATGGTTTGGGATGATTTCAAAACGAACAGTGAAACAGAAGCAGGAGTAATGGGATCATGCTTCAAGTAATAATGAGGTCTGACTGCTTTCCCTAGAGTATTTCAAGCTTTTAGCTGTAAATGGATGTTTGGCAAACAATTTAAGGACTACAGATATGTAATGGCATCTTCATATTGTTTGTTAAACAGGAAGCAATAAAAACCTCAAACAATATGGAATCAAAATTAGTTCCGGACTGTTTATAATTACTGAATGAACTGAGGAGAACCAGGTTCCACGACACTGAAGGAAATGAAAAAATAGAAGAATTTGCAAAAAGATCTGACACAATTAATTCCTTATTCCGCAAAATTGGCTTTCAAGAGATGGATGCAAGAAGTGTGAATACTATGAGCATCAAGAACAGACTCCAGCGAATTAAATACTGAAAGTTCAAAGGAAATACTGAAAATGAGTCAAGTCAGACAGGGAGAATTCATCGCATTATTTTTGTTAAAACAGTAATAGTACATTAAGTATTAAGGTCAGTAAGTATTCTTCAATTGTTGAGGATTTATGTCCTAAACCAATAAGTCACTTAATGACCGTAATGCTTAAGACATTTTCTCTACTCAAATATTGAATAAATTTAATTAGAACTAAGAAATTTAATATTTTAAAAATACATAAAACAAACAAGTACATAAAAAAATTTTCGCTTTAGTTACTATGAGACCAAATATTTATTGTCAAGTGATATCTGCTGTCATTAGAAATTTCTCCAAGATAATATTTTTGCTACAACTTAAGCTTCTTGTAAGTTATGACGATTCAAGAAAGTGATGATTCAGATGTAGAAAATGCTTGACAAGTAGGATGATCAGCCATAATTCCCAAGAAGTTCAAAGAGAGATATGAGAACATCTTCAAGCTATTAGCAGCATGATGCATGCTATACTAGATCCATAGATCTAGTAAACTATGGACTGTCCCTAGAAAGAGAGGTCAATGGCGCTGATGTGTGCAAGGCAGATGAAGCTAGTGCAGGCAAATACCGGTAAAACAAATAATGGTACACGGGTATACTGGTACAAAATACCGTAAACAAGCCTTAGAGTAAAAGTCATGTAAAAGATTTCTTAAATTTTTGTGTGATTTAGTGTATGTGAAATATTTGTAAAAACTAAATATGGTGCAATAGTGTTCAGCGATCAATTGCGTAAAGGGACGTTTAAGTGGAGAAAAAATAAAATTTCATAGGTAGAAAAGAGGTTATGATGGTACCAACGTATTTATACTTTTCGCATCTTTCTGAAAATAATAACCAAGTAGAGTTGTCTCTGATGATAACATATTTGATTATATTATTTTCCCCGTCCTCAAAATAAAATGTCATTTTAACGTCAAAATTTTTCCCCCTTAAATGTATCATTCTTCAAATTATTTTTTAACATCAAACTAAATACGTACAGGTATAAATAAACAGTTTCAACTGAATTATGCTTATAATGTGCTTCAGCAAAACTTGCCTTTAAATAATTTGTTGAGAAAGAAAACATGGATACAATTTTACAAAGAAAGATTATATGAACTAAAACAACTACTTCGGATAAGCTTGCAGTAATTTTAATTAATCGAGCTTAGGATATGGAGAAAATAAATGGAGAACTACATAAAAAAGGCATAAAAACTATTTGGAAAATTGAAACTATGAATATTTTTTAATAATGTATAATAAAATATCCAAAGACCTCAGAATGAATAGACAAGTAATTTCCTATGCATTGCAAAGGAATTGTTTTGATTTTCCACAAATTGAGACATCCTGCTATTAAACAAGGATGAAGATAGTTCTTTGTTTACTAGGGAACTCTTAACCAGTGGCGTGTGTGTTAAAAAGTGTGATACATTTTAATATTTGTCTAATTTATATATACTCCTTTCACACCTAATTTGGTTTTAAAATAATGGTAATGACTTCTTTTTTAAATAAATAGAACCATGTTTGTTTTACTCCNTGTGCAAGGCAGATGAAGCTAGTGCAGGCAAATACCGGTAAAACAAATAATGGTACACGGGTATACTGGTACAAAATACCGTAAACAAGCCTTAGAGTAAAAGTCATGTAAAAGATTTCTTAAATTTTTGTGTGATTTAGTGTATGTGAAATATTTGTAAAAACTAAATATGGTGCAATAGTGTTCAGCGATCAATTGCGTAAAGGGACGTTTAAGTGGAGAAAAAATAAAATTTCATAGGTAGAAAAGAGGTTATGATGGTACCAACGTATTTATACTTTTCGCGTCTTTCTGAAAATAATGACCAAGTAGAGTTGTCTCTGATGATAACATATTTGATTATATTATTTTCCCCGTCCTCAAAATAAAATGTCATTTTAACGTCAAAATTTTTCCCCCTTAAATGTATCATTCTTCAAATTATTTTTTAACATCAAACTAAATACGTACAGGTATAAATAAACAGTTTCAACTGAATTATGCTTATAATGTGCTTCAGCAAAACTTGCCTTTAAATAATTTGTTGAGAAAGAAAACATGGATACAATTTTACAAAGAAAGATTATATGAACTAAAACAACTACTTCGGATAAGCTTGCAGTAATTTTAATTAATCGAGCTTAGGATATGGAGAAAATAAATGGAGAACTACATAAAAAAGGCATAAAAACTATTTGGAAAATTGAAATTATGAATATTTTTTTATAATGTATAATAAAATATCTTTGACTTTAAATTTCTAATTATTACATTCCCCCGTTAATACCTCCAATTTGTACAGAAATCCCATATAAACAAACAGTGCTTATGCTCTTATTCATAATAATTCAATAATTAAAATTACTGGTAAAAATATGTATTGTTAAAAGAAGAGAAATCGAATTTAATTCAAGTTTAGTTACGTATAGAGTTAATATATCTACACATTTTTAATGGATTTTTTTGCCTTCTAGTCTCTATATTATTTTTATAAAGTCTTTGTAGATCAGCAATTCGTCGACTGTCCATTCTGTCATTCATCTGAATATAATTAAAACCTAATCAAGAAGTTTTCAAAATTTTTAACTGAAGTGTAGCCACTACACATAAATATAGTTAAAATCATTTTAACTTCAAACAGGAATACGGCCCAGCAGAAATAATGGGTAAGGAATCGAGTCGAAGTTCTGTAAAGAAAGCATAAGCCCGCACTAGCTCTATCTCTCTCGCACACGTCTGTGCGATTGTAGTTTATATGAGCAAAATGACAGTTGGGCGAGTCCAGTAGTTTCTAAGGTCTATGGGTGTAACAAGAAAAATTTTGAAAATATCACAGAAAAGGTAATGCTAGCTTATTTTGTTTCAAGAAATGGAACCCTAAAGTCTTCAGGAAGCTTATGGGCTTAATACTTTATGATCACAGTTATAACATTTTTGTATAAAGCTTAGATATTTCAAAATATGCTAAGTTAATTGCTTTCTTTATGAGGAAAAATATTGGTCATAAAGTGAAAAAATCAAGAATCTTTACCAGGAAACTCATGTATAAGTTTTCTGATAAAACCTATTGAAATATAAAAGTAGGAATGATATTTGGAATAACAGGGGCGTACAGAAGGGAAGAACAAATCAAGAAATCGATTAATTATTTGCAATTTTATAAAAAATACTGCCAAAAGAGACAAAGTGAGCTCAGTTATTCTTGGCAATGTGAGATGGGAAGGTCACGCACCAGGGAGTGCTATTATAAAATGTGCAGTAACTATAACATCATCAGAAGAGAACGTTGTTTTAAACCCAAATTCTATTACTCCACTAAGTTTAAATAATCTATTTTTAAAATTCTACATTTATTAGATTACGTGTACCGCCTCCTGATCAGTAAATAATCACTTACCGATCGCTAAAATGTAAACGCCACTTACAAATGTCTCAACAAATTCAGTAAAGGTGTCAAATTACCTGATAATGCAAAAATGTTTTTAATTTATCACAAAGTGCCATAATACTTTTGAAAATTATATGTACAGTTTAAATCTATTTGTTTATCTTTATATTATATTTTACTTATTATTATTGTTATTATTATTTGGACCTCATTTTGACTTCATTTGATTTTCTGGATTTTTTTTTATTATTTATTAGAATTAGCTTAATACCTTTAAAATGAAGTAAAAAGACTGTAAATAGCATTTAGATATTATTATCTTCATAAATCTAAACTACTGATCAGTGGAGGAAAGAGAAAACTAGGAGAAACTGTCTTTTAAAATTAATTCAAACTCAAAAAATAATTAATGGTGTTAGTACTCCAATTTATTTTTTATATTTATTGTATAAATAAATGTAATACCTACAAATAAAATTACGATAAAAACATGTTTTGATAATCGTCATGATTCAATATTATTACATATATTGCAATAATTTTTGTCAATATGCAAAAATAAACAATTTTTATATAAGATTTACTGGAATCCGAACGCAAAATGCAAGTTCAAAATCATTTCCGTCTTCATACTTTGCAGTCAACCTGAGATGACCTCGTCTCTGAAAAAAATACATATTTTTAGTTTCTAAAAAAGTAGTTTCACTATAAAATTATGTGTTACTTCTCAGTATTTATATTTCAAAAAAAATCAATCGAACACCTTCATAAATGTTTACAAGCCACGTGACCCCCGAGCTTAGGCAGCCCAATATTGCACAACTGTTCCTGGTGACGAAAAATTCCTAAATTCTTTTACAATGAACCCTAACAAACCGTTACGCCTACGCTCGAGATAATGCGATCGCTGATTGGTTGAATAGAATCTCGTGAAAAATTGCACCAATCACAGCCGGTGAAACATAATATTGCGTTTCAATGTTATCTTGATCTTATTGTTTTAATAATTTTTATCCAAAAAGTAATTATATCTTGGATTGTTGAGTTTATGAGTGTAAAATATGGCCAACCATTTCAAATTTGAAAGATATATTTATTAATCATTTTTATTGGGTTTAGTTTAAAAGGTAGAAAACCAAAAACTGCGCTTGTGGATATTTTACTGTTACTAATTAAGGCCATCCACATTTTTTATTAAATTAAGAAATGTGTATTTTTTGTGAAATTTTGTACTTAGCCATTTACAATGATAACTTGTTACAGGGCTACAAGTATTTAGACATTATATAAAAAATCGCTAATATGGTATCTCGAATTTAGATTTAGACATGTTGATGTTTAGAAAGACATAGCGTCTTCTTCATCAGGAGAAACCTGAAGATTCTTCAGTTGATATTTATTTTTGCTATGTATATTTTCCCTGGTGTGAAGTAGGTGCTATTCCCATAGAAAATCTATTTCACAAGTATCGAAATATACGTAAATTTTCCTTGACTGCACAAGGAAATTTCGCCGTATTTCGCACGTTTTTGGAGAATACAGAATATACTATACGATTATAAATAACATCATCACTTGTATAAAAGGTATTTCTCCCTCTTCGGCCAATTCTTGACCTTAATAATAATTATTATTATTGATGAAATTTATAATCTATAAGTGTCTAAAAAATTTTGCATGTTCATTAAAGAGAGGTAACAAAAATGTTCTACTTCCTCTACAACTTCATTTTGTTGATTCAATAGAATACCAAAATTTTAAATCGTACATTTTAGAAATTTTAATCATAAGAATTTATTTGACCTCAATAATGACACAAAATATCAATAACTAACTGTATATTATCTGAATTTCAGTCAGATTAATATCAGATTAATTTTACAAGAAGCAAATTAATTGTTTGGTACTGTTTAACATGGAAAACAATTATCAAAAAAAGTATAGCTTAGCAAATAGGAAAAACTTACTCTTAATAATGTACTATTAAAATAAACATCTCCGGAATATTTTCTTGTGGCAGATTCACTTAAAGGGCACCCTCCCCAATGAAGACATATATCATTAGGGGTAACTTTCAATCCCCATGCATAACCTAATTGCACAATATAGGCTTCCCCGAGAAGAGCAGCAAAGCTAGTATCTGAAAAATTAGGAGCTCATTATGGTAACCACTATCATACTGTTATACAATTAGCCCAGACGGTATCTGTTTCAAAGAGTCCATATTTGGGTGAATCGTATATCCACGGAGATTTTTGTCTTTTTGGCTTTCAAATATCACTAGAAATGAAAATTTTTCTATGCGCATAAAAAAAACGTGGTATTTACTTTTGGCGGCACAAAATGTTAAAAAAAAATTCGAAAATTTTCTTTCTATTTAATTATGTATCTTTTCCAGAGTTGATTTTAGGCGAAAGTGGAAGAGGAAAAAAATGTTTGTAATTAAATTTTTTACAATACATGACTGGTTACAAATCGAATGAATCATGATTATTATGGTAAAAATCGAAAAAATCACAAAAATGGGGTTAAAAAACAATACTTTTTAAGAAATATTTTTGGTGTATTTAAATTGGGCGTCGGACCTTTATACTTGGCTCAAGAAAACTTCATGTTATGTAGAATCATCACACCAAATTTCAGCAAAATCGGTTCGATAGATTTTGCATAATAATTTTGCAATCCAGATTTTGAAAAAAAATTTGCAAATTTTCAAATTTTTGCACAGCAAAAACCAAGGCCCTTAGATACTTGAAAATTTAATCACATATAGAAGGGCTCTCAGGCTTTCAAACTTTTTTTGAAAAATTCGAATCCGTCAATTAGGAGAGCTCTGGCGCTTGTTTAAACATT